CCCTATGGGGAAATTTGTGTCGGGTTACGACCAACTCGGGATACGCCCAGAGTCACGGAACACATTAACTTCGTATCCCGAGGTACCACTGTAACATATTTCTATGCCGAGTAAAGTTTATATCAGTAGTGAGCTTATTGAAAATATTTTCTTCCCATCTTTTAAAATTCTTGGCTTTTCAAGTACAGGAGATCCTTTTTGTCTCCTTGCTGATTTCTGCACAACCCAGTGGGGTAAGACACCGAGACACAAGAACAGTTCAGCCCAGGATATGTTTACTAATTAGGTTACAACCTTAACTTGCTCTTTGACTCCTGTCTGAGCAAAGGCTTGATTCAAACAGCAGGCATGAAATACCCACCCGAATATTGTCAAAGGAGACTTTGCTGGTGATATCATAAAGGAGGAGGAGGGCTGGAAAAGAAAGAGAAATATGTGTTATTTGATGATTTAGTAATTTTCTAAAATTACCAAGTTATTGGGAATATATGGGGCCACACAGATCAAGTCAAACTACTGATCCCTCTATCCTGAACTCTGATTATCTAAATCTGTTGGAGAGCTCAGTCCACAGGCATATTCCCACCCTTGAACATAATCTGTTTAATGGAAGACTGTGGGGTTTAAATCTAATATTGTCTATACACAGATCATAGCTGTACCAGCCATTCATCATGGTGCCTATGAGATGCATTGGACTTCAAACTCTCATACTTTTCAGGGAAGATACAAAGATGAGGGGAAGAAGATGAGCTATGTCATAGATATAGGAGGGTGTAGACAAAACAGAAAACCACTTTTGTTTTGAGCTTGGAACAAAATAGTCCCTTCAAAACATTCCATTGGAATGTTCAGAGTAGGTTTGTTGTTACTCACAACAAACCTTCCATAACACACACATTTTGTTTTAAGCGTGGAACACTCCAAAAGGCCATTTCAAAGTCAAAATATTGCACACTGCTAGTATATAGAACCTTGTTGCATTATCACTTGATATTAGATCCTAGCAATGAAAGGGCTACTTCACTATCATCCCGACTCTGATTCAGTCTGAGATGAAGCAAGGCAGCTTTCTGGAGGACCTACCTTGTGCATCACGATAGTATGCATGTGTTACACTCCGGAACCTTTCCTGACCAGCAGTGTCCCAAATCTGCAATAAGGCAAAGACAGAAGATCAAGGAAAGAATCTTCATTTTATTCCATTAGAGCAGCCCAGATGTGAAACAATTATTAGTGCAGGCAAAATTCAGTACGTGCAAAATGATACAAATTCTTGGATAGTTCTCCAAATTATGTCTATCAGAGCCAAGATCGTGGTTGTTCCCTCAAATAAGAGAATAAACTTATAGAAGTCAATTCAGCATATGAAAAATGCAAAAGTAAAAGGTTTGAACACAATTATCTCATGGATCCAATAGGATTTCTTTAGATCCAGAAATGTGTAAATAAGTAACTTTCTTACAGTCTCAAATCAGCACCATAAATACCAATGTACGAAATACATGATGTATCAGCTAGGGCTGTGCAATGCTTTGGATTCAATTAAAAACAATGTTTCAGAGCCCACAGGGGTGCAAACATCGCCCCTGTCTCACAGGAAAAGACATGGCTGGGTTGAAGAACTGAATCTCTGAAGCTCCTTTGTGGAACTGAGTCTGAAACCCTGCACATCCCTAGAACACCACTGTTCTGCAAGCTGCATTGGCTGCCAGTCAGCTTCCAGGTGCAATTCAAGACTGTTGTACGCTGCCCAGAGTTGCTTTGTGTGAGATGGGTGGCTATAGAAATGTGATAGAAGATAGAGAGAGCGAGAGAGATGATAGATATAGGTAGACAGACAGACAGATAAGCTGGTCACCACCATGGCATAAGGCTTGGCTATACAAGGGACTACCTATCTGAGACAGTTTCTATCTGCTCTGTAGAATGGGACAGAATGGGCATGTTTCAGTTCCTATTAATTAAATTATGTCCCCTGATGGGACCCAGGAAGCAGGCTTTTTTTTGTTGCAGCACCTGCACCCTGGAATAGCATCCCCTTCCCCCAAGATTCATATAGGCCTCCCTATTTTTAAAAAGCTTTTGAAAACCTACTTTCTTCCTAAGCCTTGATTAGAGTGGGTGATGAGCTACTTTTAAGAATTTCTACATTGGTTGAATGTTTTGTTCCAAAAGTACAGTACATTGTTCTTTCCTTATTATGTTGATTTCTATTGTTTTTAATGTTATATGCAGAATCTTCCGGAGTTGGGAAGCCCTGTAAATCTAATAAATACATAAATAAATCTCGTGAATAATAAGTTGCTTATCTGATAAAAGATAAGAAACAAAAATATCAGCTGAATGTTGAGACTATAAAAGAGGTAAAATGAAATAATTACATATTATCTCTATAAAAACACAATATTGTATAGGAGAATTTTCATACAGTTTGAGTACATCTATCAGCAGGTAGCAAACTTCTCTTCCAAAAAAAGGTGCCTGAGCAAATGGCTGTTAACTAACTTCAAATGCTCTTGGATGGCACTGATTTCCTGGATCCATTTTAATTAGGATTCAGGGCTGATTTTGACACATGGGATTAGAGTGGAGCCAACAGAGGTCAATACAGAGAATGTTTTATTGGATGGCAGGATTTCTTTGGAAGTAATTCACATTTATGGCTTTAGCTTCCACACGCCAAGCAGAAATGTAATAGCTGAAGCCTTGATGTGGAGAAAACTGGCTTGTCACACAGTGACTAAATATATAGGAGACTCTTTCAGAACGGAAAAAATGGAGCAAGGGTACCTACTTAGAGGACTTCACAGGATATGCAACTTTGGTGTCTCCATCAGACCTACCTGCAATTTCACTTTTACACCATCCACTGTTACCACCTTGTTCTGTAAGAGAAAAACAATACCCCACATTTATATAAAAAGCAGATTAACAAGAGGAGCTCAATATTCAGCCTTGAGTTCTTTAGATCACCTGTGAGAAAACAAGCCCATTCTCATCATTTTCTATCATTCATAGTTTAAAATTCCATGGAACAATCACTAGATAGTTTCATACATCTGGATAGGAGGTAACAAGCTTCAGACATATTGCACAATTGATCCACTGAGATTTTAGGTAAGACTGTAAGCGGCACATCTGAACAAATACTATATATTAAGTCATCATTCTTTGCCTGCAACTTGGGGACAGAGGTATCATATTTACTGGGATTGCAGGCAAAGCAACCCTATCAGCTGAAACAATGTTCATTAAGCTGATTATCTAGCAATTATCGATACAACTAAAATATCTTAAATTTCTCCCTTATATATGTTCTGTCAACTCTGGACTGAAGTAATGATGATTGCACTAACAGCAAATAATATCTTGTACATTAGTAAGTGCTGGACAGTTTCACTGTCAAACTTTTATCTATCACTTCACACAGAGAAAACAGTACAACTTTTGGTACTAAGTTTGTGGCAATTAGATGCAAAAGTTTTCACAGATGAGTGAAATGATCTAGAAAAGCTTATACAATTACAGTTTTTAGGCTTTAAAGTGCCACAAGTGGTTTTTGTTGCATTAAATGAACATGGCTATTGTTTTAAAAATAGAGGAAAAAATCAGTTGGGTAGAGTAGGCAACACTGCCTTTTGCTATGAAGTCCACAATCAAAATACTAAGCTATAAAATCAGTGACAAGGGAGACACACCTTCCTCTGTCTAAGTTCCCACTACTGTATTCAAGGGGTTGTGTTCCCCCAGACCAGTGTTTCTCAACCTTGGCAACTTTAAGATGTGTGGACTTCAACTCCCAGAATTCTGGGAGCTGAAGTCCACACATCTTAAAGTTGTCAAGGTTGAGAAACACTGCCCCAGACCATGCTTGTCAGATAGTAATCACAATGTAGAGGCCAAGGGTGCATAAGTTATTTAGAACAAGTGCAGTACGCAGTAGGTAACATACTTGGTCCGGGAAGACCAGGAAAATCCTTCAGTTGTGGAAGCCACTGAGGGACTTTGGGCCATATCATTCTCTCCCAGCCCAATGGAGCTCATAAGATTATTGTCTGGGGAATAAAATGAAGGGACATCCCCACATAATCCATCTTGAGCTCCAAAAGGACCACAAATGAGAATACAAATGCTCATCATCACCATCATCTTCATTCATCATTCACATACCCCATGTTATTTTCCCTTCTTTAACTGTTCCACCCTATGAGCTCTGCAAAGTTTTCAAACCAGTTGAAGCAGCTGCATCATTTGCAAGCCTCATGTGGCTGCTTCAAAAGCTTCTCCCAGCTATCTCTACATGCATATGGAGTCACTTTGCTTTAGCAATTCAAGGAGAGGTGCTTCAAAATCCATAGGAGCACAAAAGCAAGCTTTGCATACCACATTCTTTAAACTGTGGAGCAACTGTGGGGGAGAAAAATGGATCCAGGAACTGAAAATGGACAGGAAAGAAATATAGTAAGCCTCCATCTTCCACCCATCAATTGTCCCTACCAATGCGTCCCTCTCCTGTCATTACAAGGCAAGCATGGGGCAACCAGTTCTGTCCATAAATAGACAAGATACTCATGGTTATACTATTATACTGTTGCATACATGGTTCTTTGTGAGAATGACAGGCTACTCCAATACGGTGGTGAATGAGGGGGGGTTCTAACATCATATTGCCCAGCAGGATGGCAGCACGTAGCCAGTCATGGCTGATTTCAAGAAGCCAAGCCAAGCCTTGTTAATGGTTAGAATGGCTGACCATTAGGAAGACCCAGGGCTATAGGCTAGGTTGTGAAATGGGAAAAACACCCTGGAAGAAGGCAATGGCAAAACACTTCTATACAGTTGCTAAGAAAATTACACGGATGCACCCATGAAGTCACCAGAAGTCCAGCTCGACTTGAGGGAGACTTTAGCTTTTTAACATGAAGATATGGGGACAATATACTGCATATGTAATGGTCTGTGGGAATGACCTTGGGAGACAGGAGAAAGAGCCACAGCTTAGACAACCGTCATGCCACAGGTATCTCAGCCCACAGAAGGAAAAGGGGCGTGGGAAGCGTTTCAGAAGGGGCCCTCCCTCGTTTTCTGGAAAGTAAAAGTAAAGGAGGGGAGAAATGCTTTCAGACTTGCAAGATTCTGTTACTGTAACCTTACAATAAAGGTAGTGTTACTACTCATGGTTTGTGCTTCTGTCTGGACTACCTCAAAGGGCTGACACATATCTCACTATAATGCACATAGAATATATCTGCCTAATATAATTTGCTAAAGGAAAATAATGTGTTCTATCTGAATTTAGTATGATATGGAAAAGTTTCATTTGGTTCAGCACAACCAGAACCAAAACATTATTTGGGAGCACAAAGAAGGATAGGTTAGAGGCACCTCCTCAAATTATTGCTTTGCTTTGCTTTGGAATGCCCAATGCTTAATATTACAAATTATTATAATATTCTTCTTAAACTGTTATTAACTATCTCCTAGAACCTGCTACTCTTCCCCAATAGTCTCCTCCAGATGAACTGGGACTACATGCAGACTGGGAATTCTGGAAGTTACCCATCTGGAGGAAACCAGCTTAGGGAAGGTAGCCTAGACTGTCCACACAGTTAATATCATGACCAAGTAAGTTGTTATTATTAGTCCCAGACAAGTGAGCACGAGAAGGGCAGTACATACCACATTACCATAACATATAATTCAATACCCACGTTTTTTCTCTTTAATTTGTCCAACAAAATATTTTACATATCTACGTGCAGTACATAACTTACATTCCAGTGTGAGTCTATCATATTTCCTACAAATTGAGATAATTTTTAATTGAGTACATTTATCACTTACATAATAAAAATTCATACTATTCCTTGGAAAAAGATATCCATGTTATGCATACAGTATACTTCGGAGACCTTTTTAAGCACACAAATGAACCAGAGACCTGTCTATTACTATTCTGCACAGAGAGCTTGACTAACAAATTCAGTGTTGAGCAATCATTGGTTTAGCTGCCAAGAGCAAGAACAGAATCAACACTTGCTTCATAATTTTTTTTATTCTAACCATCAAATATATGTAACAAATTTAAATTTGCAGTGTTTTCAATCCTTTGCTTAGTCAGAAAGTTTATTTAATCAAAAACATCTTTCCAGAATTTAAAAGCTTCATCATACACTTACTAGAGATGAAGATACCCTACAGGATTAGCCTGCTGGAAATGCTGACCTTAAACAAAAAGGAATTCTGTGGAGGGTTGTTACATTATAGACAAGGGTTTGTTAATAGATCCTGTTCAATTACACAAGTTTTAAAAGTTTTGGAAACAGAGATCTTCTGAAAGTTTGAACAGCTGAGACATGACAGTTCAGGAACAGTTTTTCAATAAAAGATTACATATGAATGGATTCTCAAAAGTGGGAGGATGTTGGTGTAGGAAGGCATGAAAAAATACAATTTTGGATTTTTAAAATCCCAATAAGAACAATTGGCTAGAACTATCTTGCAACAGTCATGCTCCATTCATTAACTCAGTATGAGGGGGAACTTCTGAAAAATAGCTTACATGCTTATGAAGTAAAGTCATGACCAATCCGTCTTGACAGCTAACAGATAAGCAGCATAAAAATTTAATGAATGCAGTTTTTATTAGCCACCCATACTCTTATGGTCTATGGATCTGAATAAAGATATTGAAAAAGCTATTTAAAATCCTGCAGCATTGAGTTCCAACAATCAGTGCCAACAAAATGTCATTTTCAATTTACAGTTTACAGTTATAAATGAAATAACATCTCTTGAGCACTAGAAGAAGGCACATGACATCTGAGCTATGTTATATAAATCGCATTATTTATGTGATGATGTCACATTGCTGTTTCCCCTCTTCTCTCCCTGGATACCTGGGCATTCATCAAGGATTCATGATGGTGGCAGGGCTTTTTAATGGGAACTGGAACCAATCTGATTCCTTGCATATGCTGCTTCCCCTTGCTGCCACTTGTTCCTGTTCACACATACCTCCAGTCACAACTCTGACAGATAAATGTAATGGAGTGTTAAATGACTGCAAGCAATTCATTTGTCTGATTTTTGACCTTTATAAATTACAGAGTATAGCTTGTGGGAGAGAGAGGCTTTCACGGCTTCCCCCAAACTGTCATCCAAGGGAACATCATCCCACTCTAAAACTACAGAAGTTAATATGTGTAGCTCAGGGTTGAATTGTGGAGTCCTTGGGGTTCTCTGAGCTTGGTTCTTTTCTTGCAAACGTTTCATTACCTAGCCGGGTAATGAAAAGAACCAAGCTCAGAGAACCCCAAGGACTCCACACTACAGAAGTTCTATGAGAGAAGATGGAAACTTTCCCCCTGGGACTACTAGCAGCTCTGAGAATGTGTGTGTGTAAATGAAGGAGGAAGTGAGGGATAGATTGCATGAAAGACAATTTGAGTTTTGTATGGTATTACTACAACCACAGCAGAGAGGAAAAGGTTGAGGCCCCTGTGTCTCCATGTGCTGGACTCCTGACCCTGCTATTGAAAGAACAAAACCAGGCATGACAAATGTTTGACAAAAGTTTGCATCCATGTAATGCTCTTCAGCCTGCATTGTGCTTAGTTCAAAGGTCTACTGCAGGATGCCCAACACACTTCTCTGCTGTGGCAAACTTATCTCCAGCAGCAATAGTGGCCTCACCCGGAAGTCTATCCCGACAGTAGCTATGAAGGTCCCAGAGAGGAAGGCTCCATCTTTGAACTGGACGAGGAAGCAGGTCTTCCCCACACCTGAATCTCCAAGCAGCATCACCTACAAGATGAGGTGCAAAAGCTCATTAATACGGCTGGTTGGGGGATACTGACATTCGTGTGCTTTTTTCCTCCATGCCTCCTTGTTGAAGAAGTGTCCCTCTCTTTTGTCAGCAGTGATCTAATCTAGCAAGCAGGTACAGCAGCCAATAAAGATAAGAAAAAACAAATGCAATATCTAATCTTCAATCTTACTTTAGCCTTTCTGACTGGGAGACGCTCATTGTCTGCTCTACTACAATAGTCTCATGCTATCAACACTGGCTGTAACTCAATGGGGAGAACTTAGCAGAAAATCAGGAATCTGATAGCACCTTTTCTGACTAACAAATTTCATTAAAAGGCATATGTTTTCCCAAAAATTCCTGATTTCTTGCCACCACAGACCAGTGTTTCTCAACTGTGGCAACTTTAAGATGTGCAGACTTCTTATGCTGGCTTGGGAAGTCTGGGAGTTGAAGTCCACACATCTTAAAGTTGCCAAGGTTTAGAAAAACTGCTACAGACTGACAAGGCTGTCCCCCTGTAACAGATAATTCTTTGAAAGTTGTTTATTAGGTTTATTGGGTCTGGGAAAGCTTTAGAAGTGAACCAGAAGTGCTTTGGATCTCCTGTAAGCACAGCTCCTCTCTGTTACTAATCAAAGTGCCCCAACTTTTTTCAGGGTTCTGCATGAGCCTGAAAGAAAAGTTGTTGCAGCTTTAACCAGCCAGCTTTTTAATGCAACTCATTAACTAGCTGCAAGGTTGTTTTATTCAGGTTTGCAGAAGAGTGAAAAGGTTGGGCTGCTGTAAGGAACAGCAGAGCAGTTCTGCGCTTGCATGAAGTCCAAAGCAATACTTGAGAAATCATCTTCAAAGTCTGCATCCCTTTCTGTTTATCATCCTCTTTAAATGTTATGGTAAGCTTACAAGGATGGTCTAGGACAGACTTCCCACCTCATGTTCTCCAGAGGTGCCAAAGGCACAGCAGTTGGCAATTATGGTTATTTAAACTGAACAAATCTGGAAGGCACTAAGCTGAAAAAGGCAGTTTTAAAATGTTTCCAAATAGAACAAATAGAGTGTACTTTGCTAAATCTTTCAGGAAGATTTGGGCTCAGGGAAAACCATCCAGGATCTCCCTTTCTATTCCCAGCTCTTTTCAGTGAAAGAGGTGATGTCTATCTATGGTCCTGGCAAAATACGTTCCTGTACTTTCATCTCTCTCTCTCATCCTTGTGTATCTGCCAGTACAGTAATGGTGGAAAGGGAACTCCAGAAATACAGTTGCTTGCTAGATTGCGAATGTTTGGCAAGTCTTCCTTCCTACGGTGCTCTCTCAAGAGATGTCCTCCCATGTAGATGAACAGTCTTGAGGGATATCAATCCCACTGTCCTGATTCTCTGAGAGAGTCTGGAGTTCTTTTGTGAGCTTGCCCCAGACTCCTTCTCTGAAAGAATGAAAGGCTATAAACTCTCCTTAACTGGTTGTCCTCATTTCCATAATTACTAAAAGCAGCTCTTCCTTGTCAATGTTTCCTCTCTTCCACACAAAAGATAAGGAGTTTAGCTTGCAGCTACCAGCTGCTGCTTCCACTGGAAACAAACAACCCATTTACTGTATATTTCTACTTCATGCCATATGGTCCAACTCTTGCTTTTGTCCAGGCTAGTCTGGACAAGCTACATTTCTGGAAGCTCAGGGGCCAAATGCCTTGTTCAAGGACGTGAGTATCTGCCTGAAATGTCAGGGCAGCTTGCTAGGAAGTAGTGAGGTTCAGTCACCTACTCTTTCAATGGAGAAGCTTGTATGACAGGACCTAAATCTTCTGACTGCTTCTGAGTTACTGTTCCTCAGTTTAGGAATTATAATAATTAAAATACCTTACTTAGGATTATTTATTTATTTATTTCAATTTAAGGGAACTTCTGCTGTAGAGCCTACAGCAACTTCTTGACTCCATTTATGGTAGTCCTGCCCTCTGTCCCCTCAGCCCTCTCCAGTTATCACTGCCAGCAGGGCTGTGTTCACTGAAGAAAACCAAAATACAATCCTATCTGAGCTCTTATCTGGGAATGAGTTCCTTCAGTGAAACTACTTTCACACAAACATGCACAGGATCGGTACTATAGTTTTATGCACTGAAACATTTAGGCTGGAGAGGTCACCAAATGCTCTGGGATGCCCTTGTGAGCTGTCAGAAACTCCCAGATCAGAAGGGGCTGCACTCCTCACCCCTGCCCCAAGCAAGCAAATAGTCCATTAGCTAATGTTACCTCTCCTAATCCAAACATTGTATTAATCCTCCAAGTAATCCCCAAAGGCACAATTCAAACCCAGCCCTTTTCTTCACCCTCTGGAGCCAGATTTGTCATTGATCTATGATGTTATATAGACAAAGGGTGGAGAAAGAAGGAACTGTTTGTTACTAATACACTTGATTAGAATCTGAAGTATATTTCTCACAATCAGTTCCTTCTTTCACGTATTTTTGTCTATATCCTCTGAAGTCACCCTGACCATAAATGCATCACAGACTCCATGGCTGGACTCTGAGATAAAAGCCTGAGAGGTACCATTACAGCACGTCAAGTGTCAGGAGACGATCCGTAAGCTCTGGGGCTCTCTTCGTTTCTTGCAGCCACCTCACCTAAGTTGCAAGACGGCAGAGCAAACACACAATCCAGTATCCACTCCTTCTAAGCAAACAGACTTTCAGCTTAAAAGTCCTGGTTTTGTTGGCATTTTTGGAGCCATTTACCCCAGGGAAGGAAAGGCAATATCGGAGGCTACTCTGAATAGTTAAAAAGAATTCACCATAAGGCATCTTAAAGATTGATTGCAGTGTAAGATTTTGTGGCCATTTTCATTTAACGGGTTCTGTTCACAAAAGGAGGAGCACCCTATATCTGTTAATAAATCTCTCACCTGTCCAGAATTTATCCCTGTGAGAAATGTAGATTATCAAGTATTTGTCCACCTATAAAAAGTGAACCCACCCAGCTCAGAAAAAACAGCAATCCCTAGGGGATAATCCATCAACAGCCCTGGCAGAACAACAAACACTGGACTCTTAACAGCTCAAACTTAAAAAATACTTTTTAAAAGCAAAAGCAAGCAAACTAAACTTAGGTGCAAGATTTGGGACAAGGGAACATCTCTAGAGTAATGGTGTCCCCCTCACTGTAAGAAATCCACTTGCCGGGTTTCCTGAACTGCTCTTCCTCAACTGGATACAGCAATATTTCCCAGAAAGCTGAAACACACTTCTTAAATTTCCAACTAAAAAACACTGCACTTGATATTCCAACGTCACTTTTCCCAACGTAGCATCTTCCAGAAGCTTTGCAACTGCAACTTGCAAAATCCTCAGCCAGCCTTTGGGCACACTGATTGAGGAAACAAGCAGTTGCAACACAACTGAAAAGGCCCAGGTTCGGAAAAGCTGCTCCAACTGCTTTCACTTTAAGAATGTGGAAGAGAAAATATTTTCTCTCTGCATCTTTGTATGGAGGGAGTGTCAGTTTAATAGAAGGCAGCAAGTCCCACAAGAGGGACTCCTGCAGGAAAGAACCATAAAGATTCTCCTGCCTGATGCCCTTTCAGTAGGGCTGGGCTATGTACCTGAAGTTGTAATTCATGTGAGTTGTAGTCTGACCCAGAAAGTGCCATGCAGGGGAAGGCAGTTAGAACAGGCCAGAAATGATTGCTGTGATGGAGTGGCCAAGGCCCGTGGCCAGTTTGCAAATTTTCTTGGATTGGTGTTGCTGCTCCTCCTTGTGTGGCTGTCTTTTTGCCTCCTGCCCTTCTCAGGTGTCAGGAAGAGGGAGAAGCAGCAGCGGTTCCAGACACCAGTGGACTGGAGAAGAAGAACAAAGGGGCACCACTAGCAGTTGGCAACTACCGCAATGGGGAGGGAGCAGGGATCCCTGGTGGAGGCCAGCTGTTATCTTCTCCAAGGATCCCCTCCCCGAGGAAATCTGGAACTGAGACTGAGTGAACAGCATGAAATAGGGCTTCTGGATTTAAGACTGCAAGAGAGCTGGTAGCCAAAGTTTTCTTCCAGTTCCAGGCCCAGCAACCTGATTCCTATCAGTGAAAACATAGGGCCAACTGATAACCTTGCCTTAGTATGTAATATGAACCCAGCTCTTTGGCTGTGTAAAATAGCTATGGCTTAACATGTAGTATATCTCCAGCCAATAGTGGCTCATACACTAAACTATTATTAAATCAACCATGGTTTTGGGTGATGTGAGAGCCCAGTCATTAGCAGAGGTAGAAGATGAGTTTTGTCTTCATTGGAATTAAATGTGGTTCTTGCCCCTCAAGACTCTACTTCCATTAGGTGTGGGGGCAATAGGTTCACGTCTTTTCTCCCCCGAACCATAAAATGTATGCTTAGCTTCATGGGTTGTTATTGAGCCTGTTCCGTGTGCCGTTTAGGACAGTGGTTTTATGTCATGAAACTGGTCAACAATGTTTTAAATTCCCAACATGATTATGCAGGAGTCCTTCCTTCACAGAGAAAGGTGCATTATTTCACTTGTTTTCTATTGTATTTGGCTCCTTATGCATATTTCTGTTGATTAGACCCTGATCTTCTGTCTAACTCTGATGGAAGCATGAATCTTAGTACCAGAAACTCATGCTGGAATAGTTCCTTGGATGTGGGAAAGTGGAAAGCAATAGATAATTAAGTACATTCACAGAATTGCATTGCTGGCTGCAGGGATACTTTTATTCAGCTCTCTGCTTGTGGCAAGCAGACTCTTTACCACAAAGCACACAATTTTGCAGATCCAGCATTAGCAAGGCTTACGATGGCATAAAGACACACCGGGATATAAATGAAATAAATAACTTGCAATATAATTAGAATACTCTACAATTGCCTGTCCCAACAAAGAGCGACAGTGCTCTTCCTGGTTCTGCAACATGACTGCTGGAGCTCATACCTCTGCTGGGGAGATATGTGCAAGCTCTGAATGTGAGGAAGTGAGCTTCACGGCCTTG